TTTATGATTGATTTCTTTTCACTATACTTTCTATTTATCTTTTATTATCATTAGATTTTCCCACATTGGACTAATTCCAAGACTGAATAAAATGGCTAGGAGTAATTTTTCTTCCTGGTTCAGCTATCGTGTTTTAGTCACTTGAGATTTAGCAGAACCTACATTACTGGTAGTTCTATATAACTTGCTCTTGTACAGAAATTAAGATTTTTTTTTTTTTTTTAGGCATTACACAGCTAGTTACTGGCTGGTTAATGTGGATATTGCTGAAATCATAGCATGGCATCAAGGAGCTCAGTGCAAACAAACCACTCAGATACTCATCCTGCTTTTTGCCAGAGCTCTGTGCAAGGCTATGCTGTTAGCAGAACTGATGCTACCCAATTTAAAAGTACAGAGGTTTTGCTCACATTGGAGACATCACCACAAGACCTTTTACATGACTGGGTAATTGTAGGGTGGCTTGTAAACTGGTGCAGTTCAAACATAAGCATACAGTCTATGCTTATTCTGGCAAGGTACAAAGGAACTTGAGTCATATAATATGGTTTTACAGTAGATGAGATGCAGCACACTAATTTTAACTTTACTAATGTTGATGCAGAAATAAAAACCTATGCTTCTTTAAAATTGGATTTTCTTAACATAAGTAGTGCATTTATATGCAGTGCCTGTTTTTTCCAAAAACAGGACAAAAAAATGAAAACAAATTAAAGCTATTACCATATGGCGAATTTAGACATGAGTAGGGAAATTCATACTAACAAAAAAATCTATCAAATAAAAATATACAGAAACCCTAAAAATTTCTCAACATTACCCTACATCTTTCTCTAACCCTTAGAAAGTTTCCTGCTTGATTCTTCTTGAAATGAGTTCTGATATGTTTCTTATTTTGTGTATCACATTTATTTATGGTTATATGGTAATACCAGATGAAAATGCTAAGACCAAATGAAAGAAGTACAGGAGAGATTTCAAACTGACTGTGTTAATTACATGCTGTAAAAGTTCTAGCTTTGCAAGAAAAAAAAGCAATTTCCAACTTCCAAAACCTTGCTATTATTTCCATAAAAGAAAAAAAATCCAAGGAAAATAAAAAATCTTAAAGTTGCAGTGTACTGCTTTTGAATAATGTTATCTACAATTTTAAGACAGGCAGTCCATTAAATAGAAAAAAGATTTGTTTTACATAAAGCAAGGGAGTACAAAAGCACAGCTTTTGTAATTTTGGTAATATTGCAGTTTTACAAACATATTGCATAGTATGTGTAAGAAAATAGTTCCCATCTTTTTAATATATTTATATACACAAGAAAATCATTAACATGAAGGTTACAAAACAAAAATGGTTAGCAGACCTTTACTGAGTACTGATTGAAACAATATGACACTCAAACTTCAATCCAACTTACATATGCATTACAGTGAATCAGCTTATAACAATTCCATAGTTTAATATTAGACTTTAATTTTTTTTTTTTTATTTATTTAGACAATGATTTAGAATCTAAAATAACCCATTAAAAAATACATGGTGTTAGCAACTGAATATCTTAAACATCCTTCATTAAATCCTTCTAGACATTTATGGCTGTATCTTCAATCCAGACTTAATAGCCCTCTGCGTCTAAAACGGTTTAAAGTGAATTCCATTATCCAGCCAAGCCACTGTTTTGCTTGCAAAACAGTATAACTTCAGTTGAAACAAGCAATGTCTTGGCACATTTTGGAACACATACTCTTTCATTTTCTTAGGAATACCGAAAGATCTTCATACGCATGAACAGTAATGTAATTGCGCCACTGAAAAAAATTTAAATCCTGGAAAAAAGTGAACAAACTACAGCTCAAAATGCTGCACAAATCTAAACTATGTTACAATTTCATGTTGTAATTACAACTTGTCATCTCTTCATTCCAACAGAATTAGTAGAAGCAGCAGTGTCATAGTGTTAGATATAATAGAAGTGTCAGTCTTTGGTCTTGTCACTTAACCAATGAATGAACTGCAATACAAAACCATACAGCTAACAGTGCTCAGAGAGGTTGGCTGATGCTTTTATTTTTCTTTTTTTAAACAAGAAAGAGACAGTATCCTATAATATGACATATATATTTTTACAGAAGATAAATCTTTTGTATATATTAAATACATGTAGCTAATAAGATCTTTTCATACATTTCATTGTTGTCATAAGGATAGCCCTGAAGAAGTCAAATGGCTGCAATACTATCTTGGTGGTTTGTTTCCATACAAACATTCTAGTACAAAAAGAAGCTTTATTTGATACATGTATTCATATACTGTAAAAAACCTCAGAGAAATATTTTAGCCACTGTTTGGTTTTGGTTGTTTTGTTGTTGTTTTGTGTTGGGTGTTTTTTGTTTGGTTTTTTTTTGTTTGTTTGTTTGTTTGTTTTTGTATGTGTGGTTGTTGTTTGTTGTTTTTTTTTTTTAATTGCATGAGTATTAATGCTTAAAAATATCCTAAGGTCTTCAGTCTTTCCCTGTGATTGTCACAACAGTGATTTGTTAATGGGAAACTCTTGTCTCAACTAGAATAAGAAGTGACATCTCTTTTCTGAAATACACACTCAAAATATTCAGTCAGATAAGCAATCCACCTAGAGAAACATTAGCTGGGGCTTAACCATAACCTGAATATTAGATATAAATGGCTAACAAAGACTGTAATAACTGGGAAGACAGGGCCAGGAAGGTGACAAAAAGGATCTGAAAATTTCCTATGGCTTTGCACACAATGACCTCAGCATTATAAAACCAGCACTGAAATAGCACAGCCATGGCTCTATGTTTTAATATGGTATTTGTGCTGAGATCTAGTTTCCTTCCATCTGAAATGATCTTGTGGGATTATGCCATTTTTTTGATATTTTGGGGGTGTACTATAAGCAGAAGAGCTCTACTATTGATGTTTTCACTACTGCCAGTTCCATTCAAAACCACTGGGTCTGTTTCTCCTTCCACTCAGGAATGATGACACTGCTTACAGTTTATTGGTGTTTAATTTTTGACTTCTCTAAATGCATTGAAATCACTTTTCCAATACTCTCTGAAATCATGTGGTCAAGAAATAGTTTTTAAAATAAAACCTGAGATTTTCACCTTCTTACAGTTTGCAATGGGTTTAAAGTAAAACAATATTATGAAACTCACCAGAATATTAAGATATTCTGAGAATTCATTATACTATCTCGTAAGTTGCTGAAGCTCTCAAATACTCTCTACTTCAGAATGAAGGGACTCCAAGCACGAAAATCCTGACAGTGCAGAGCTATGTGGCTTTACTGGCTTGGTTTTGTTGAGTCCAATATGTCATTTGCACCTCTACCCTGAGTTTTCTTCATACGAAGTGGTGGTAAATTATTCCAGCCTTTCTGTTAAAATGAATCTAGTAACAAAAGATTATGTTTTTTTCTACCTGCCCATTCCCACTTAAGTTTGTGTAAAATTTATAAAGGTTGGGTCTTTCTATCCAGTGGGTGAAAACCTTTTTTATATGTATTACAGGCAAGCAATTGCATAAGGTAAAGAGAAAACAAATAAGAAATTCTCAGTGTAAAATTCATTACAAAGTATCTGAGCCATCCCTTGGGTTCATTTGAGGAGAAAAGAAAAGATCTTAGTCTACTTTTGTGCAATTTGTAAGAAGCCATAATTTAATTCACCAAATAGATTAGTCACTATAATCTGTTTGTTCATCTTTTAAGCAACCAGTTTATGCAGGTATGCACAGATAATGAATACATTTAGGTGTGTCCTCATACAGATCTATATACTTTTCCTCCTGAAATACTATTTATCCATGTGACTTTCACACTACCATTCTATTACTTGTGTGCATAAGAAAAAAAACATCTATTTACCTACAGTTTTAAGGGTATTGTATGACTACACTTTCTAATGTTTCATTATCACCTTCTTTTTCATTTGTATCTTTTTCTGTCTCTCTTAGGCTTCTAATAAACTTTCAATATTTTAAAATATATTTTCTTTCCAAGTGAAAGAGTAAAATTCTCAAAGAAACAAGAATCCAGCTGTTAACAGCCTTCTTTTGAAGAGATAAAATAATTTTAAATCTTCATTTAACTGGTAGAAAGAGCAAATATAGAAATCTTGCTATGGGGTGAAATTCACACCTCTGAAGAGGGCCAGTAGAAAGGCAAGCAACCAGTTAAGCCATGGACACGTTTTGTGCTGGTCTTCTGCATAGGAGTGAATTTCACCTGAAGTGAAAACAAAATAAAACTCATTAGATGCTAATGCAGTACAAAAGTAATCACAGTATTAGTTTGCTCCTTTTATTTTTTTTCCTCTAAAAAAAAAAAACCACAAAAAAACCCAACAACAACAAAAAAAAACCAACACGCATAGAAATACCCACCTTGCATTGTCTGCCCTGGCTTTAGAGTTACATTGCAAAAGCTGTCATTACATTGGTGACCTTACATTCAGAAGCCTCTAAAGTTACATGCCAGGTAATGTAATTTAAAGGATAGAATTAAAAAGCACACTTACCTCATGTAATCAAGCCATCTTCCACAATAGGAAACATTTTTATACTGTTTTACATTCCTGGGTTCTGCAAGTTTCAAGATACTCTTGTTAATCAATGTTGCGATAAAGTTACTAGCAGCATACCAAAGCATTTTTTTATAAGATTTCAATTACCAGCCAAGCCAAACAAGTAGGGACATTGATACAAGAAAGAAATCCCACATCAAACTTGTCAAAAAAGGAAGCCAATAGTGAGATCTGAGTGCAAATGTGGCTGCATAATTTAAACACAAACCTGATAAAGTCAATGTAATATCAATGCACTTTTTACTATTGAATGTAATTTCATATGTGTTTTTATAGATATTACTATTTGAAAAACTTAGCAGCAGATGGTGAACAAAAGAGAGTAATAAACATGAATGTCATACCAGTTGTTAGTGCATTGCTTCTCAGCATTACACATTACATTAGTACTAATGTTTGTATTGTGTTAAAATGGTAGCAGTTGGACACAGCTAGAAAATAGACAAGATGTAACTTTGAGGATTTTATCTTGGTTTTGCATTTGCCAATTATAAATACCTTTTGAAGAGCAATACACTGATCAACAAACATATCATCATTATTTCCCTCTTTACCCTGTTCTTTTCCAGAAACTGTATGTTCTACGTAATCACATGCAGTAGCCACAAAAATACTATATAAGGCCATTCAGATCTGACAAACAATAGCAGATGTCTTTTTAACTTTGAAAGGTAATATTGCTGAGCACTTCCAAAATTTACCTAGTGTACAAAACCCTAGACTTAGTAGACAAAGAGTAACAACACACTTTTAAAGAAACCAAACTCAGGGAGGGATTCTGTCTCTCTTTGTGTTAAAAACCATTTACTGAATTTAATTGTTTAGTAAAGCAAGCATCACACAATGCTTCAAAATTTTAAAATTCAGGGATAAAAGTTTACATCCAAAAAGATGAATGGAAAATTGTGCTTTCAGACAGTAAAGTTATTTATCATACAGGGGGAACCAATTCATCTCACCATCAGATTCTGGGCAAAATTATGTACTGTATATATATATATATGCAGTTCATATCCAGGTCCTGCAAAAATCTAAAACTATGTGCTTCACTTCATGTAGCAAAGGCACCTGTGTTATTCTCCCTTTTGGACAAAAGGTGATATTATGTTCCAGGTTTCCTGATGAAGAATACATTGATTTCTGAATATCTCACTCCCATCTCTACGTTGAGTGGCAACACAAACCACGAGAGAAGGCAGCGCTGTATTCCTGCTTACACGGGAAGAAGTTGCTCTGCAGGCCGTTTGAAGCGTCGAACTTGTCACAAGGGAAACCGAGCAGAACTGTGAAGCAGAGGGATAGTAACAAAAGGCTATTCTGGTGTGAGGATACATTGGAGTCATTCTAGCTCCACAAGCAGATGTTGCTACTGGATTGACATGTGGAGCCTGCTCCTGCTGGGGACAGGTAAAGTTTACCATTGGGACAGACGCAGAGCTCATAGATAGTCTGGCGAGGAGCTGAAGAGCTGGGTGAGGAGGAGGAAGAAAAGGAACCCACTGGTAGATTTCCCAGGCGGATTGTATCTGCATTTAAAAATATCTACAAGGGAAAAAAAAAAAAAAAGCAGTAAATTTCTTTCAGCATTGTGGCATATTTTAATGAAGTGCTTTGAGGCGGTCACGAGTTTTTTAGAAACATATTGAAAATTTAGAATTATTTTATTAGAATTATTAGAAAGAGTATTAGAAATATTATAAATCTATATTAGAAAGAACTATTTTTAGAAATAAAATAACTGTCAACATTTCTTGTTTTTCACCTCTGTGTAGCTTTATACCCATTAATACTCGTTACTACAGTATATGCAAATACTTTACCCAACATGTTTATCAGATTCAAACAGTGTCATACAAAACCTTTTTGACAATATTCTTGAATAGGTTGAATTTTCACTTGTACACTTTATTCATTCATGACAGTAGCATATCCTTTCTCTGGAATAATTCATATTTTAATAAGTGTGAAATGATATTAAAGCAGATTCCCCAGTGTGTTCCTGTAAGCAGCTGGAAATATGTACTGAACTGTGCTAAACTGTAGGGGCTTAACAATAGCTACATCCAGAGAATAATTAAATAAGGGTACAGAGTCATACGCACAAAATAAAGAGCTTATATTAACTAAATTAAGAGGAGAAAAGATTTCAGGTTAAAGTCTTATTATGAAGGTCATCAAACTATTCCCATTTCTTTCTGAACATTGAATGTGATTAAAAAATATGGTGGGTTTGGTTTGTTTTTTTTTTTAATCTCCTTACATTGGAAATAGCATGAGTCAGTATGAAACTGTAGATACTGGTAGTGTTCATGAACCTGTATTGAATTCTGCAATATATACACTTATGTTACATTTTCAGGGTGTTGAATAAACAGTGTAATGAAAATAGGTAACTAAAGCAGGAAATATCCATGTCTTCCACTGGCACAAACAAACAAGTCCCCAGCTGCTTAGAATTTATTTTTAATTTATGGAAGGAGTAAATGAAAGCCAAAGTAAGATCATTCATTACTGCAGATGCAGACTAGGAACTTCTAGAAGACTGGTAACAAATCAAAATGGCTTTAAGCCCTGCAGATAGCAGTCCAAAGCTTAGGAAAAGGTGAGTTCTTAAATACTTGGTAGTGGTTTTTTTATAAGGTATTGAAAATCAGCAAAGCTAACTTGACACCATTACATAACAATGTTGGCAGTTCTCTGTAAAGAACCTGGGGAGATATGGCAGGTATTGCTTTTTTCTACAGAGACTAGTATTATTTTAAAATAAAATCAGCGGTATATGGCAGAAAAGCAGCACAGAAGCACTACTAAGCCTCTGCTGGAGACAAGTGGTGGAGAACAGGCTCAGAAAAAATTAAGACGACTTGATAAAATCCCATACTGCTGCACAGTCACGTTACCATTCACAGCAGAAGTATTGTAAATGACTGGGATCATCGAAGGAAATACAGGCTGAAAACCCCAAATAATATAACCACCCATCACTGTGAGTTCTCCAGCTCCCAGAGGAAGATACTGTCATCGGTGGGAACTTACACTAAAAGGGACAGAAAGGGAGAATCTCAGAGGCACAGGTAACAACTCCATGGCACAATGCCTGTTTTAATTCACATCCTGACTGATAGAGGAACTAAAATGCAGCAAATTATTACCTTTGTTCTGGAAATTATATGACAAAGGAATGACGTATTTACAGACACGTACATACATTGCTGCTTTAAAAGTCCAGTATCATAGACCTGAAATAATTAGGAGTCAAAATCCCCACAGAAATAATTTAGATGGAACAAATGTGGATGGTGTTAGGAACAATTTAATAATGTGCTGCTAGAATTACAACTGAAAAAAAAAAAAAAGATTACACATTTGAAAACATTCCAGCTAGGAGTAACTATAGCAAGAATAGTAATAAAACAAAATAATGGGGGGGGAAAAAAAGAATTTGATAGCAAATAGAAGCTAGGAAATGGTAAAATGTAGGAAGGAAACAAAGGACATAATCCTCAGTCAGTGGAGTGAGGACTAATAAAAAGTACTCTTTCACTTCTCCTATTAAGAATAAAAGAAATGTTAACAAGTCCACTATTAATGTAGCACTGGTGGAGTTATCAATAGTACTGCAAAAAAATCCAGTAGCATTCAACAGTGTAAGCTCTATGTAACTCTAAGTCTAACTTTTATACTAAATAGTGCTCAGCACAGTTCTGTACTTGGAGAAAGATCAAGTATTGATACCAGAACATGACTGTGATAAAATCTTTTCAATTTCAACAGTCGCTCAACAGGATATTAAACATGAGCCAATAATGTCTTATAATCAGCAGCTCTTGATAACTGTTAATGAATAGATCTCAAAAAAACCAACCTGAGTAACCTTTGGGACTTGTAATACTGATATACTTAGTAAACACTGATATACATAGTAAACCCTGATATACTTGGAATACCAAAGATAAGAAAAATATATTTCTATTTTTTACAGAAGCAGGAGATATTAGACTATTATATATGTGATAATAAAAGACACTTCAGTGTAGAAGACATATACATAAGAAAATCCATCAGCAGTGCAAGATTAGCTATTTCTACTTTTGACAGAGTGTGTGACTGGCCATTTTAACAGTTTAACTGCAGTAGTGATGGGGAAGGATCATGAGAAATCTGGAAATCAAAATTAAACGGTTTCTAAAAGACATGTCTTGATTCAAACAAGAATTAACTCAGAAAAAATCAGTAGCCCTATGTGTCAGAGATCAGGCTAGATTAAAATCTCTTGAACTTTAATATCTTTTTTTCTAGGAGCTCAATATTTTTATGTGTTTGTTTACATCAGGACAGATATGTTTCTGCAACTCCTCATTGCAGATGTTCTCTAGTGTACTGCTCTAAGACCAGTAGACCTCAGTCCAGTGTGCATTAAAATACAATGTAATTTTGCTCATTAAATTAAATGATCTTTCAAAGCATATCTGTACCTGCTTTTCCATTGGTGCTTACAAATTTCACACTGTGATGTAGATCAATACAGGTTTTTCTGGTGTCATAATCCTAAACAGTACCTATGAGGTCCTGTTCCAGCACGCATCCCAGAACATCTGGTGAGCAATATAAATACCAGTGTATGGTGTCTGAGAAAAACTGAAGTGGCTTCTTGTGAGGATGTATCTGCTGTGGTGAGTCTAACAAGTTCTGTGCCTTTGCAGAAAATTGGGAAGGCTGTACAATTTAAACAGACACCTGTAGCTAATCCCTGGGGAAGCCTGAGATGAAGAGGATTAATAAGGATGGCTTAAAGCTAGCATTAAAATGTACTGTGTACCTATGCTGTCAAGGTTATAAATAAAAGACTAAATTCACAGATACAACATTGCTATTAGTTAAGCAGGGGTCCGAATATATCATTGTAGTAGCCCAGTACATAAGGAATTTCTGAGGAACATATTCCATGTTTGAAGATATACCGTCTCCCCACTATCATCTACTAATAACTGAAATTCATGCTGAAAAGTCCCCTAATATCAGTAAAACTTAAACTACTTACCATTTTATGCCTGATGTTATGAGGTGTTTAAAGAGAAAGAAAGCAGTCGCAATACAATAAACTAAACAGTACTATGTTCCCAGGGAACACTGTTGCTAGATGACAGAGTTAATGGAAGTGCCTGTGTACATGTTTTTTCTCTACTCTTTTGTGTTGTGCAAGGTGTGAGATAAGCCATTTAATACTTCATACACATCAAGGCCATGCAAGCCAGTCATGCTCTTTCTGAGAGTCTCACATCTCAGCAGATAAATAGGCAAGGATAAAAACAAAACTTTCATCCATTCTTGAAACATTGTAGGAGACTGACTGGGAGATTACAAAATGGAAAAGGCACCAGCTACTCAGAAAAATGCTATTTCACAGAGAACAGAGCACTGAGCAGCATCATTCCCTCTAAATACTTAAGGTTTAGAAATCCTAGATGATTGCTTTGTCTTGTGCATCTTAGTGATGAGAAAAATATATTAGCCCTATAATATTTAAAAGTAGACCTGATTTCTGACTAATTAAAGTAGCCAATGGAATCAGCATGTAGGGCATGTGATAGGAATGGAAAAAATGTACTCATTTTACACACATTTTTTACTAATGGAGATGCACAAGTCATCTGCTCATCAGACTGTGTTGTTAATCTGAACAGTGAGAGGGAAAGGGAGAAAATATAGATTATCTGTACCAAAGAACTGAATTGAAGAAGAGAACTTTCAATGGGCAAGATACAGGCATGAGATAAAAATCAAATATTCCTACAAGCCATTTCATACAGAGATATGAACCTGCCATGTATAAAAGTTCTCCACTGCGTCCTTGACTAAGTCTTCTCAAGAGAGGACATCATAGGCTAAATTGATAAAGCCAAATTAAAGAGTTAGGATTTATAAACATTGAATAATTTTCTCTATTCATGCACGTCTGATTAGGCAGGTAATTCTACAGAGCTGCAAAGGAACATTTCAGGGTTAATGTAGATCAGAAATGGCAGAAAACTGAAGGAAGTGTAGAAGAATAGAAGGAAAAACAAAGTGTGGTGTTCATCAACCAGTATGAGGAGATAGTGTAATGACATCTCACTAAACAAACCTTTTGGATTCCCTTAGGCTCTTCAGAATCAATCTGAATTATAATAATACAAGATTTTGTCTAGTCTTTTTGCTCTTCTGCATATGCTATCATAAGCATACATACAAAGAAGATTATATAGATTGCGTAACTAGACTCAGTATATAATTTTCATATGCTGGTATGTTTTAACATTCAAGGTGAAGTTGAATTATAGGACATATTGCAGGACTTTAGTTCATGTGGGCCATTTGTTCTAACAGTTATCTGTGCTTTTGACTTTTATTTTAAAAACATTCCCCTAAACTCGCTTTCATTAAATCTTAAAAGCAGTTCTGAGAAAAATAAAAAAAAAAATCATAATGGAAAATTAAAATCTTAAATTGATAGCATATATATCGTAAAATCAAAACATATGCTGGCACAATGTCTAGAACAA